TAATTCACCCTCTACTTCTACTACCTACCCTGTTAGGGGGGTTAAACATATTTTTGATGTAAAAAAACTGCGGAACCTTTGTTAACAATTATTGCCACAAACAAAATATATTCTATCTATTTCGGTAAAAAAAATACAGATTTGTTTCAAGACTTAATTTACACACTGTATATAGATTTTAGATCGATAACTCGCATTGGAATTAACTAATTCAAACGACGAATATCTCAAACCAAAGCCTCTTTTTATCGAACTATTTTAAGACCAAGACATGTAAAATAACTAAAATAAAAATGGAACCATCCACATCATGCTCCAATTGAGAATCAAATAACCTCGTAAATAAATACAACAATACGATAAATTTACGAATCATTGATTGCAGATAAGCCCAAAAAATTATGATTATTTTCGATTCGTGATGGAGCAGGCACGTTCAATCTTAATAATTAGAAGCTCAAGAAAACAGGTATTTCAATGAAGGTTCATTGACCAAAAATATAAATAATGTAATTAGAACTGCTGAAATACACCTTTAATTGAAGTAAGAATTGTAAAAAAATCGAATTTATGTTTCTTGATTGAGTATCACAGTAGATAAATGAATGATGCTAGATTATTAAATTAAAAATAATCTGTGCGTGCATACCTTTATTTAAGACCAAAATTATGAAAATCGGTTGGGTAGAAGGCCCTTCTACCCCCGTTCGTTTGGCCCAAACGAACTCGAAAAAGATAAACCAAATTACAGTCCATAAGAAATGTACAGGGAGTAAATTGCTTTGCATAAGTCGAAATATATGACAAACTAACGAATGTCGATGCTTGATGGCAATACTGACTGTGCGTACCTTTAATTTAAGACCAAAATTATGAAAATCGGTCTGGTAGAAGAGCCGAAAAGCATCGGAAAAGAAACCTGGTAATCTTTAATATCCAGTATTAGGTAAACGTGCTATCTAAATTTGCTTAAAAACCAAAGAAATGATTCAAAAGAAATAATTATTGTTTTAAAGTATTTACCAAAAGTCGAAGTACACATGCACAATCAAAAGAAGTAACTGAGAAATGTACTTTTATTTTTCTTCATTGAAACTAACTTCTATCACTGGAAATGTCCATTACATTATAAATATTTCATTGAAAGATCTTTTAACAGAGTTCATTAATAAGCAATTTAGTTTTTTTCCTATAACTGCTTCTGTTAAAACTTGGCAATTACTTCTTCGTGGAATTTTATTATGCATCCCTCAGATTAAATTCTTTAAATATTGTATGAAGGAGCAGAAGATAATTTACAATCGAAATAAAGTTTTTTTTTTTTAAGATGGTATTAGTTTAATTTGACTTTTTACTAAACTTCCCCTCCTGTAATGTACCTTTCCGGTAATATTTAAAGTATAATACCGCATTAAAAATGTTTTTTATGAATACATTTGAAATATCAATTTAGAAAGTTACAATTAATTATACTATTACTTATAGCTTGGTCTTTAATTCACAAATAATCTTTTCTGCACCATTATGATAATATTGGGAAATCTTTTACGGATCCATTACACATAACTAGTTAGGGCTGTCAATGACTATAAATTGCCAACATAGATAATTACATTGAATTGAATTAATTGATTTATTAGGTCAAAATTATGTTTAAGATGCTTCAACCATAGCAAACCTGCAGACAAAGCTAATTCCAATTTGTTTGATTCAATTTTGACTAAAATATTTCCTTAAAGCTGTCAGATTTATTCCCTATTTAAATATAGTTTTATTTGACGAGCAAATTAGGCTTAATGCTATAGCTACATGGAAAGGAAATGTGGGTTTTGTTCGGAAAATGATTGTATTATACAGGGTGGCGCAGATGGATCGGGTGGTTTTATAATACTTGTCAAACTGTCAATTTTAAAGGTATTGGATTGAAATAAAGTGCAAAACGTGTACTTAAAATGGAAGTTTATTGACAAACAATTTGTTAAGTTAGTTTTTAAAAATTACATCCATCAAATGCCTTCCTTCTCGAGCGACGCATTCTTGGAGTCGGTCCTTGAGGTTCCGCATTGCTCGCTCAAGCACATCACCAGGAATTGATGTGATTTCGTTGTGAATTGCAGCCTTCAACTCCTGAAGCAAGGATCTACATGAACAAACCCCGGACCATTCAGGAGTTGAAGGTTGCAATTTACAACGAAATCACATCAATTCCTGGTGATGTGGCGGAGCGAGCAATAGGGAAACTCAAGGACCGACTCCAAGAATGCGTCGCTCGAGAAGGAAGGCATTTGATGGATGTAATTTTTAAAAACTAACTTAACTAATTTTATGTCAATAAACTTCCATTGTAACTACACGTTTTGCACTTTATTTCATTCCAATACCTTTAAAATTGACAGTTTGACAAGTATTTTAAAACCACCCGATCCATCTGCGCCACCCTGTATTATGAAATAAATAAGTTTGCCAAATTTAATCACAGTATACCTATAAACAAGCAAACCACAACAGTTTACTCAAGAATACGGTGGCAATTTTTAATATATAATTGTTTTATTTTTCATCCGTAGCCTTTAATTATACAAAAACGTTTTAATATGCGATGGTCTAAATGAAAATTGATCATTTAACATTTTCGGACAAAAATATTAGAAAAGTGAGTGATCGCGGGAGTTATTCAGATATAAATATGCACGTATACAAATTTGAACGGATTGTTTTTTTAACCTCTAGTTACATTAAAATTAAAATAAATAAATAAATCGGTCCCTGGTTTAGGTCTTACCGTCTTACGGTTATAACTACTTAACCGTAGGGAATTCGCTAATACACGGTTTTTGGAAAATAACAAAGTAAACAACGTAGGAGGTGGCAAAAGGTACGGAAAATATTACTGTTGCTACTGTTGAACAACTTGAGCTGAAAAGGTTGATACAATTTGCCTTTGTATTGTTAACTTGCTTTTATCATCTCTGCTTGCAAATTTGTTTTACTCGTATTTTTTACGTTAGCTTCATTCATTTTTTTATGGTATAACCATTTTATGATTGTATGTAACACACTAACTAACATTCTTTGAATAACATTCTAACTTTCATACTTTGTTTTTAAGGATGAAAGAAAATTAAGATTATGCCTTTTAACGTATTATGGAAATTACTGTGTGTAGATCGTGTTGATGGAAGCCATACAAAAACAGTATATCAGTTACCAAACATATTTAATAACTGTTCTTTCTAAGGTAATTTGCAACACCCGGAAAATAATCTAATAAACGTGTTCAATTTCCAAATGTTTATAAAAATGTGAAATTTCAAGGATGTAATGCCTATTAGTTTTCCCCATACTATAAAGGAATCGGGGAGTAGTTTTTTTATTTGATCATCATTGTAGGCTATTATTTTTCGCTAAGCTAAATAATCCTTCGCCTTCCGTTCTAGGATGCAATGTGGGTACAGCTACCGTATTGCCTACTCAATACACGGCGCTCACCTAGTAATCTGAACTTTATTTAAAATAATCAATGTTTTATCTCTTATATAAACTTTTGAAAAATAAGGTTTTAGCTAAAAATTCTAAATAAATGTAAATAAAAATCGCTTGTTGTGGACTAAATTATCATGATTTGTTAATAGAATGCATAACTTTACATGCAGACTTTTACTACATACTTTTTCAAAGAACTGTTTTATATTTAGGTAATGGTACCAGAGTAACGTGAAAGGGCAAAGGTAACTATTGGTTCTGACAGAGATCTGGTTAGACTTGGAAGAAGACCTTCAAATATCACATTACCTGACCAGTGTCGCCTCACTTGTGGATTTGCTTTAGTCCTTTCTGACTTTTCTCTTTAAATGAAAGTTTAGTTAATATTTTAATTGCGTGAAAATACGTAGGTTATTACAATGTTCTGAACAAATAGGTATTAGGAACTTAAAGTTTATTTTTCATGCTATTTATTCAGAAACTCATTATTTAACGATAATCTAGTTTGTTTCGGACTATTCCTTGTTTTTTATCAATAGATTTATAAATATATATTGAAATTATGAAAATATTGTATTTTTATATAACAATTTAAGCCATTGTTATATATATGTGGTATATTTGCGTCATAATATGCAATGAATCATATAGTCAGTTCACATTTTATTTGGGCGTAATCAAGCTATTAACAAAACAAGTTAGCACTGCCTCACCACCAAATTCCCTGACACATACAATGCCAAGGGAAGATGACATATCATTTCATAGTTTTAAATTTCTCTTGGTCAAATAAATCTTTGAATGTCTCCTTTATCGTTATAGTTTGTTTTCTATTCTTTGATGTTTAAACTATCAACAAAGGCAGCTTGTCAGATAGTAACGAACGAAAAATGTTTTTGCTTGGATTGGTTGTAGCTGAAAAGCTTTATATTAATTCAAAATCATCTTCCGATCATGAAAACAATATTCAGAGCCTCATGATATTCGTTTAGATTGTCTTCGCAATTTTAAGATTTTGAATCAAGACTATATACATTTGTATTTATGGGTTATAAGTTAATGTTGAGATAGCGAGTAGACTTCAAGATGGAAAAATACATTACCGGTAATACAAATTTAGCTTTTCAATTTTTACCTTATTTTCCAGTTCAATTGGGTAAATTTTAATTTTAATATAACTTTTGCTTCCGCAAAATGCATCCAAGTGTACCAAATAAACAAGAAAGATCTAATCACAATTTCTTTCGACAATTGATTTGGTATACACCACGAAAATAGTTGATACTCCTGAACACACGAACATATTATGTAGTATAAAATAATCCAATGTGAGCATTTGTGTTTGGTAAAAAACACACAAATTATTGTACCTTTTCACTAAGGCTATTTCAGAACCAAAATCCAATTTCAACTGCAACATTCCGCCACCCTACCCTACTTAGAAACAGTCAAAGTAATAACGTCATGACAGAGCTCTGTTTTGCATCGGTAAACAAACAAGCCGGCGAGATCACAGAGCGCTCTTGCAGGGAAATTTCGTGCTGATACTAGGCCAGTTGGCAGCACTGCTCGTGTTGGTAGCAGTGTATATGGATTCAGTAGTGGTCGGGACGCCGGAGAGGCATGATGTGCTGGAGACCGCTCCGCCCTCATGCGTGTTGTAGTGTGTGTGTCGACGGAACCTATGGAGTCCTCCCCCTTGCTGATATATAAAGGTAGGTTCTAAATAATAAATACCCAATGTAATTCGATCACTGCCTACCTAAGGAGTTAGAAAACCTCCCTAACTTATTGGAAAGTAGTTATTTGCTGACCATTCGAAATTAAATCAAAGGGTGTTTTAATTGATGACATATCTTATTGAAAAAAAAACTTTAGTTTAATTTCCGTATTGTATTGCTTCAATTTAAGTGAAAAACAAGGTAGACGCTTATGTAATAACAATATTAATCAAGTATATGTCAAATGAATTAATCAACCAGCTAAATGTTTGTATAGCTAATCCTAAGTATAATTTACTACAGTAACAGCATACACATTTTCCAACGAGATTGTATTGGTAAAGTTCAGTTTAAAATTGGAAATGATTATTTGTTACTAGTAGCATCAGAGTAGAATGAACGGTGAATGTTTTTTTTTTATCAAAGTATCAGGAATCAAAAATAACATGTTTAATTCCAGTAAGACAATACATTGTGTGTGGAAAAGTCAATAGGGCATTATGTTGTTTCATATTTTGTCAAGAAAGAATACAGGTCAAAACAACAAATCAAGAGAGAACAAAAAATACTTACAGATAAGGAAAACTACAAGAGAAAAATATACATATTACGGTACTATATAGAGGTATAGGAAGTTCTAGACAATCATTTAAGTTGTAGGACGGGTGGTTTAGATATGAATTATTTTAGCTTTAAAGACTTTGTAGCGAAGTGATAGACATTTTTTAATCACTTTATTCCGAAATTTTAGGCCCAGGACTCGTTGATTCTTCTTTTTTTGTCAGTCTAACATGCTGTGTATAAAATTGATGTTGGTTCCTAGTTTTAAAATTGTGGAGTGATTATTCCTGGTGGAATGGTAGTCCACATCCTATATACTTTACTACTAGTGAAATATATAAATTAATAACAGTTAAAATATTAAAATTTATGATGCATTTACGCATAATAAGAATTTTTAAACACCAATGACGGGTAAAAAAATATAGCCTAGAGCTGGTTGTGAAAAAACAGTATAAAAACTGAGTCAAAACAAACACACAAAATATCACGCATAATGTTTGTAACGTCTGTTTATAGTTGACAGTTTTCGTTTTTACGTTGGAGAGGTTTCAAAGCGATTGCCAGCTGAGAAACGTAATGCGATTTAGCGTTTTGGTTGATTCATTGATTGAAAGTACTGAAACGAACTGTTGCATATGTAGTAGATTGTTAACTTGTTGTATATTTGGTGTACTTGGTGTATGTTAAAATAATATTTTTGGTGTGTGTGGGTAAAAAAAATATATTTATAATATCGAAGGAACAAATAAATAGCTACTAAATATTTTGCTATATAGCTTGATACTATGAATGCTTTTAAGTGTTTTTATTTACAAAATAAGTACAATGACATTCTTAGCACTAAATTTAACAATGTTTATTAAGACCGTCTTTTGCGGCTGGCGTACCTGGTCATCAGCACTTGAATAAATATCAAACAGCAATAATTAAATGAATTGAAGTAAACTGTACTTCTAAAACAAATTAAGAACCCAAAAGAAATACATTTTTCGTAAAATGGAGATATTTTAACAAAAAGAACATAGGCTATATATTTTAATAAAAATAGTAAATAACAATTAATAAAAATAACCTTTACTATTTTTGTTTTTAACAAAACAATAAATTTTTCTTTAAAATCTATATTTATTTTTCAAAAAGAATATAAAAACAACTAAACAATTTCAAAAAAATTCAAGACTTTACTAAACAATTATATAAATAATTATTAATATTTTTTATGAAACTGAAAATGTTTTTCTAAATATTAAATTCTTAAATTAACTTCCATCTTTTTGACCAAGCATCTTTTAAGTAATATAGCTTGATAATATAACTAACTAACTAATATGGTTGGGACATTTTTATTTGATACAAACATAATTTTAACTTGAATTGCACAAGACCGGCCTCTTTGACAGAAAACAAAACCGATTTTGTTTTCAGAAAACGCTTAAAACGATGCTTAGATTTTGTACGTCTAATTAAAAAAGGTTAGCACTAATCCATCAACGAGACTCAAACATTGATCGTACAATATTGCATACTTGAGTTTACACATTTTCTTCTCTAGGCATACGCCCACCCAGATTTTAAGAGTTCAATTTGGAGCTTTCATAACGATAAATAAGTAACAGGGGTTTAAAATTGCATACTACTTGTGTACTTTTTGAGGACAGTTGGAAATATAACAATTTCATGCAGGGAAAAAGCCTGAGCCATTAAGACTTCCTGAAAACAAATCCGACACACATGACAAAACCAAGTTGATATTAATTATACAATAGGGTTCCATACATTTACCAGATGAATCCAAGTTCAATTGAAATATTTAAAATTTACATCATTACTAACTGAATTGAAGTGAAATATATTACACCTTCTAAATTGATGATGGGTTTGTCAATAATTAATGGTAATTCAACATAGACTCACTTCACAAATATCCAATATTAATTGAATAGATTTAATGCCTTTACTTAAATGAGACTATAAAAACACAGTAGCATTTCTTTTATAAAGGGATGAAATAAGCTTAGTGTAAACCTAACAATAGGGTTTTCAAATCTTATAATCCCAGCATAAAGTTTAATTGTTCCTGAGGCTAACCTTATCTCTTACATTTACCAAAATGGGTTAATCGTAGTTTAATTAAGTTGTGGTTTATTTTGCGCATATAAATACAGTTTTACTTTAAATAGGTTTTAGCATTTTGCTAAATATTAGTATTAAAATTCATTGTAGTATCCCCGGAACTGTAATAATGAGTAATACTGTTTTATATTACCTGTGGTCAGTTCCAAATTGTAACTTTCGTAGATGCTACATGTTTCGGCGAGCAGCTATTGTCAAGGAATGTACATAAATATCCTCTTGTATAGCTTCGTTGTTGGTTTACACACTGGGCACTTAGCACACGACACGCACACATAAATAAATAATACTTTTGGTTGGATAGGCCTATCACGGGTACGAAACTTTGCCGTTACACAACCGGGAACAGACTCAAAGCAATGTTTCGTATCCGTAATAAAGAAGCTTTTTATATCCAACAAAAAGTATTATTTATTTATGTGTCGTGTGTTAAGTGACATGTGTGTAAACCAACACCGAATCTATACAAGTGGATTTTTTAGTGTACATTCCGGGACTGTATGTTTGACAATGGCAGCTCACCGAAACATGTAGCATCTACGAAAGTAACAATTTGAAACTGACCACAGGTAATATAAAAGCAGGATTAGTATTAGTATAATAGTAGCATGTATGGATATGAAAACAAAATAGAAAGTAACCTATTTCAACGAAAAGTAAAACAAATTAGGTTAGTTGTGGATTTAGGTTTTTAAAATGCAATTGTTATGTCGAATATGATTAAGTTGATACATAATATTTTTAGCGATGTTTAACTCAGTCGGCATTTTATGCTCAATAGTCGGTGTTTAAATGTATGTAGTAGTTGAATTACCTGCTGGAAGACCTTTTGAATATCAACAAAAAAATGGTAAAAAAGCGTTCGAGCAGAAAAATAGCTAAGTGGAAAAATACCTTGGTAAAAAAAGCTGACCCAAAATATTACTAATGTTTGAAAACATGGCAAAACTTACTTAAAATATCTTTGAATACACGGTTAAAAATGTCGAAACGGAGTGAGGTATGATAAAGAACAACTGCACGATCAAATTATTGAACTTAATCATTCAAAATCTTTGACTACTTTCTACCCTTGTGTCGGATGGAGCAAGCAGTGCAACATTAAACCAAACAACAAATATACAAATGTTTCAGTTGTCCTGAAAACCCTCTTTTTGGTCATTGACTGTTGCCGGTAGATGTTGTATACGGTGGATATCAATAAAACTGAGTAAGTTTACGATATTGACAAAATAGTCGAACTAGGTGTTCCTGCTAACACAAACGGTCCCTACTTACACTTTGTAATCCTATTGCCATTTAGGAACTTGAAGTAGTTTGACTCAAGTACACCTTTTTATCATATCTAATGTATAGTGGTTGTCAAGGGCAGGTAACATATAAGTAAGGATTATTACTTATCATAGTGTGTTGTGTTAATCACTAAATACAATTTAATAGTACTGATGTAACAGGCAGCCATTTGACAAGGAAAGCCCCGTGATGATACGTGAATATGTTAAAATACTTAGGAATTTAAAAGACTGTGTAGAGTTAAACTCTTAATATTTTAACTCATTTATGGTCTATGAGTATCGTATTAAATTTGTCATACGTTTTATAGCGGGTGTATAATGGTCACTTAACTAATTTATAGTCAATTAGTCATTAGATTTTTAACTAAAGGTTTGCATGGAATTGCTTGAAAATTTCTTTGACAGCTTCTTTAACAGTTTGACTCAGCGTACAGCTTTTACCGGCTCAGGATTTTATGCTGCTAAAAGGATTTTGAAATCCCTTTTAAAGATTTAACTTTTGACGCGTTTCACAAATTTGCACGTCAAAAAGTGTTTCTGATCAAACTCGCGGTGTTTACATGTAAATGTATAAGTTCAAACTCGTGAAAAAGTTTAAATTGTTTCAAAGCTATATGATTTTCTTGAATATACCGACAAGATTATTGAAATTTTTAGAAAATTTGAAAACATTTAAAATATGAGCTGGAAAGAAATCTTAAATTTACACTTATTTAATTTTTAAAAAGTAATGTACTGTTTTTGTATAGCCTATATGCTATCCTTTCTTACCTGGAGTTTTTTTTAAATCTGTACATAAGGTTAAATATAAACACTTTTTATGTTGTATTGGGATTGACTTTTGTGATTGAATTTGCGTGCAAGAGGTAAGTTATTTATAATTTATCAAATACGTTATGGCATTGTTTTCACAATTTTAAGGCAACTTCTCTAAAAATACTGATGAACATGCTACGCAAATATCCCGAGTATACCAGCTATTCCTTTACGACGTAGATACAA